ACCCTTGTTTCCCGCACAAATTCTCGTTTTACTATACAGAGTAGTAACGTCTCATGTCTTTTCAATATCAATGATCAATGTTGATTCAAAAAATACCTTTTTCACATTGGTGTTTCTTCTTTTTAAGATTAATTGTAAAGTTTTGTTTAGATGTAATTTTAACTGGGTTATTATTATTATTAGTAGTAGTTTGCATGGTGTTTGAAGCTAAGAAGGTGTCATTATTGTAGGGCGACATTTTGTAATTGGGACAGGCTGTTTTAACACCTTCAGGATCACAATCTCTGGTTGTAATGGATTCACCTTATCAAACAAGCATCCTAATTCAAATGAAAAGATTCTTCAAAACAAGATCTCCATAATTAGGCACGTAACAGAAAATATGAAGAACGCACAGATAGTTTGAGAAGTTGGATGGAAAATGTGGAGAAAAAAAACCCACCAACGTCACTTTTCAGTTTAGTTGCCATGAATCAATACTTGGGACGCTAAAACGCATAAAGTACATAAAACGTGTTATTCGTTACATAATACGTTAAGTTCAACGTTGTATTAAGTTAAGGTAAATTTTACTTTTGCAAGCCAGAAAAGTCCACACATAATTTGAACAAAACTCACTATGAATACTTGTCTAATCGATAAGCCAAAATCAAACGAACAAAATGTTGGTGACTGATTATCATTATGATTGTTTTTCTTTTGCATGATGGTGTTACGACGTATAGCCATGGAAATGCCCTTTATGTCAGTCAACGTTTCGTAGAAAGCGATCATGTTTCCAACACATATATGACCGACATTTATTAAGTACGTATACTTATCGTTAAACAGATTTTAAAATCCAAATTTTATATAGATAGAAGTTTGTTTAAAAAGGTCATTAAGTAGAAAGAGAATTAATATGAATATAGTGGGACGGAAATGCGAATTCATTCAAATGCATAATTCACCAAACTGCAAATCTCGAGACTTTGAAAATTTAGGAGTTATCTAATAAATTCCATGCATAACTAATGCGTAAAAAGTGAATATTTGTTATACCTAATTCAGTAAAAAATAATGGAGAGCGGAACATGCCCTTTTTTTTAGAAATTACAATATGCAGATCTATTACAATAAGGCAGCAATGTGCTTTCGTTATAGTCATATGGTAATAAAGACGAAATAGTCATATAGATAAAGTTCAGACGCAGAAGAAACTGAGCCCTTTTTGTGTTATACAAAAGATACATTAAAGTGTATATTTAATCAAAGTCAATTGACCCACATGTATCCTGCTGTTTTTCAGACCGGTAAGCTACGCCAACAGTGTCGATGTGTTCTCCTGGCGATGTTTTGGGCATCGGGACGTGATTCCAGGCTTAAAAACCCGAACATAAGAAGAGGACCGACTAATTACAGACTTCTCCACTAAAAAAACACCGATCGGATTTCTACCCAACAGAACCACCCTCTCTTTACAAATTCTGAAAATATTGTGAACAAATTAAAAGATAAACTAAATTTTCCTGACCTATAAAAAATAAATTTTCCTGACCTAAAGGCAGGCATACATTTCTATCCCGTTTATCCCACTGCCGATGTTAGAAAACACGAACATATAACGAAGAGGACAGAGTTCTCCACAAAATACCCCGTCGGATTTCTCCCAAACAGAACCGTCACGTCCTTCACGAGGAAACAACTTCAATAAAATACGCTATTTCATCACGTAGTTCAAGGTTACAATTATACATCCTCAATATCCATTTGTTTGGTCAAGACCAATTTTTAGTAAATTATTTTCGATGCTTTCTACTATCGTTAACATTCTTTATTGTCTTGGGCCTTATCGTTATGGTAATGTAATACTGTTACAAAATATGTAATTAATTGGGGGAATGATTTTGCTGTTCCATGTCTTCATCAAAAAATAGTATGAACACAATTCCAATGGGCAGCTAAAAAAGACGATACAACTGATTGAGTCAATAAAACGATGGAAAACCAAATCTACATGAATTATGCTGCCACACTTTGACCTATTGCGTGGGCCATCATTCTTCATGCAGGCTGCGATACGAGCTACATATTTAGCCACACTTCACACAACAATAAGGACCTTTGAACAAGACACGGACTGGTTAACTCAAATGAAATTAATGTTTGGTTTCTTTGTGTTTCTTCTTTCCTATTTAACTGTGACCTCCAAGTTTTTTTGTCGTTTGTTGAAAGACCCTAGTAAACTAACAATTTTAACATGGCTGTAAACTATCCGTTTTTGAGTAATTACTTTTGATTTATGTAGACAAACAGACATGTACACTCAAATAAGTATCGTTAGAATGTGTTTATAACGTTCCTCTAAGAAGTTCGCGATCAAATTAATCTGGTAATCAGCTGGCGTGAAACATGATGTATTTGTGTAATACGTACCATTTTTATTAAATGTATACATTAAACAATTTATATTACTCTCCTCCCGCATCCTGAAGACTGAATTGTGGGCAGTTTTACATAAAACAACATTAACATCTTATAAGCAGGTGTTAACAAAACTATTGTTGGGACCTGTTTGTCCGAATAACAACACGATTTTTATATTAGATTAATGCATTAATGCGGTTCTGATCTGTTGTGTTACTGTATTGCTGAAATTCTCACTAGCTATGGAACTTTATCCTTTGGACCACAGTGCAATTGACAAGGACCACCCCCTCTTTAAAAATTCTGAAAATGTTGTGAACAAATTAAAAGATAAACTAAATTCTCCTTACCTAAAAAAAATAAATTTTCCTGACCTAAATGCAGGTATACATTTCTATCCCGTTTATTTTTTTAGTTTAGAAAAAGTGGAAAACTTTCAGAATGTAATCTTTAAAACTTCAATTTAAAATTAAAAGGTGTTTTTTGACATTGTTTTGCGTCGATGGTGTTTTCACTTTTCGTGATTTATGACACTGTGAAGGCTTTAAAGTTTTGAAAATGCTCAATCACGACAAACATTTCCATAATTGTTACCTTTATCTTCGTGTTGATAATAATAATAATGAGCTGTAATAACTCATGCTTCCCCTAAGGGCAAGCTGTTCTGGTGTTTCCTCTTCACGTTCAGTAAAAGAAAGTAAATTCTATTGAGCTGCCTACGGGTGAAAAAAAATGGTATGGTTCACCGACTTGAAAACTTGTGTGTGTGTGTTTATCGATGAGTCGTTTACCATTAGTTTGAAAATTATAATTGTTCTAAAAATGTTGTAAGCTGGAAGCGAATGATATGTTGGGTTAAATTAAGTATTTCATCAATGAGTACTTAAAAATGTACATAAAAATGTAAAGAAACACTCTTTTTTTTTAATAATAGGACTTTCTGTATGAATCTATATACAGTGTCTTTGTTTTTGCATGACACCTGGTTGACATCATCTGTATTACAAAAATGCGGAAACCCCAATCCTTTAACTTCTCAAACATTACGCAAGAAAATTCATGTTCTCATAAATGTGCATACCTTATTATTTATGCTCGATTGGGTGATTCCATTGCAGAGAGGGTTCTTTGATGATTTTGTTTCCAATCCAAAGTCTCAAAATTCAACGAATAGTTTCACAAACCAAAGTATTTCTCTTTCGTGTTTGGTTTACATGGGAAAACAATGACCCTAATATCGTCAACTGAAACACATTGCTTACTTACAAATGTGCTAAGCTTACAATTGGTCCGTGCGATGGATAAATAGATATAACACCCCTCCTCCTCCGTTAATTATTAATGTCGTCGATACATTCACTCAAGTACTGATGACTATAATCAAACTTTAGCCTCGGTGGAGGTAATGTCACGTGGGTTAATCGCTAGCCTGGATTGGCTGAGCCTACCTTGAACATGAAGTAGGGAATATATACCTACGTCGAGTTGATTAATTCACTCAAGCCAGGCAAATACACGTAGTGAATTTCAAGATGGGGAACACAAATGAGCCTCAGGTCCCTAAGCCGCCCTGCCCAACGCCCTCGCCGCAGCCGGATATAAATGATCCGATAAAAGTAAGTATTATACAGGCCTTAAAAGACAGTAAACTGAATGCAAACATTCTTTCGCACCAAGTTTTTCTCGCAATTCTGTTAACTTTTCGTCCCTTCCCGACTACATTCGGCTTATTATTTAAAGAGAGCTCAATAATGTAATTGGTGTTTTCTTCAGACCCGATGTGTATAAATATATCCTACTGTAGGCCTTAAACAGATACAAATGTAACCATAAGTTTCTGTGATTGTTTTTAAAGTCGAAGCCACTTCCAAAGCCGAAACAAGCACTCAGTGGAGTAAGTTTTTTTTTCCCGCACTTGTATTATGTATTTATGAATTTGATATAGTGCACCTTTAAAAATTGGTGAGTTTTACCATCCTTGTGCTTTCATACCAAGCTATTCTCCCTTTTTATGGTAATTTTTCGTTTCATTGCGGTAATATTTTGGTAATACTCGTGAAAACGACTAAGTGCATGATCTAGATAAAAAAATGATTTGAGGTAACTATTCCGATTTTTTTTTAATGACTTAAACGAGACCGACATATACGCAACCGATATTATTTGAACTGGGGTTTCTTGTGACTATATTACTTGGTGTAATGATGTCATTTTTGTAGGGCGACATTTTGGAAATTCGGGACGGGCTGAATCGAATGTACTGCAATCACAAGTTGTGGTAGATCCATCTTATGCACGATAATTCGTGAGAGTTGTTACCGAGCATGTACAATAATTTAAACAAACGTATCCTTTACAAAATCACCAGTGGCAAGTTACATAGAATTAAACGCAATCAAGGCACATATCTACATACAGACTGATGTAATGGTGGATTCAGTAATACGCGTCACTTACAGGAAAAGTTTAAATTAAGCCTTAAACATCAACAATAGTACACGACTTGTTAAACTTGATAAAGTACTGTCTTACTTTGCGAATTTTGTTTGTTTATTTATTACTTTTTTTCTATGTGTTATGACGTTCAACCTTAGGATTACTTCGATGTTGGCGGGTCACCGTGTTCAACCGGATGGACTGCGTACACACCCCGATAAGAGTAAGTGCCCATGTGATGCACGTCGTACATTCACAGCGTTTCAAAACGCGGAAATGCTGCGTGAACTCTTAATTCAAAGGCACTGAGCGCAGCTATGACATTGTAACATGGAGGCAAAAATTAGTTGATTAAAACCACCTGTATGTGCACTCGTTTTCTTTCAGAACAAGTTATGGTTGCCGTGTCCATTTGCCGAGAATCGCCTAAGCATCATTGGGATATGTTTGCAGGCTGATGGTGCGACGGACATACAACCATCCGAACAAAGGAATGGCTACTAAATGGACCCTCACATTCCCTTTACCCCAGAAATACTTATGCATGTACTTATTAATAAGTTTGATTATGTAGACAAGCAGACGATAGAGACTCAAATAAGTATTATTAGAATGTAGGTTGTAACATTTCTATTAAGAAATTTGTTGACAAATTAATTATGGCAATCAGCCGGTCTCAAACATGATCTATTTGCGTCATAGTTATATTATTGTATTTAAATGTATCTATCAAAATGGTTCATTTTACCTTCACGTCACAGTCCGAAGGCTTACAAGCTTACAATATAAATATTACAAATTAGACAAACTGGTCTCAACAAAAGATTTTGTTTAGATGCTTAAATTACGATATTATTTTTTTTGCTTTAGTTGAGTGCATTAATGGTGTTTTGATCTGTTGTGGTACTGCTATATTGCTGAAAGTCTCACTAGCTAAGGAACGTATCCATTGGACGACAGTGCAAGGATAACGAACACCCAAGTCATTACAAATGCATTATAATTCCACCAACTTAATTCAATGTGATCAAATTGATTCGGTACTATATTCTCGAAAATCTAATGAACAACTTAAAAGCCAAACTGAATTGTAATGAGTAAGAAGCAGCTATACATTCCTATCCCGCTATATTTTTTTGTTGAAAACAACCTTCAATTTAAAATTAAATGGTGTTTTTTGGCATTGTTTAGCGGTGCTGTTGTTTTCTTTTATTTGTGATATGTTTTCATGGAAACTGTGTAATGGTTTAAAGTTTTGGGGAAAAATCACTCAAAACATTTCCATACATTTTTACTTTGGCTAAATTAAGTATTTCCGCAATATGTGTTGTTTACATGCAAGTAAAATATAGAGTAGCATTCCATTGAATTGTCTCGATTTAAATAAATCGACTCCTAGTGTAAATCTACCGTGGGTTATATATATATGTTTGCACTGACACCTGGTTTGCCGCGTAGCATTATATGTTTTTATCGTGCAATTACAAAAAACAAAAAAATCGAAAAGCCCAACCATTTGAAAATATCTCTAACATTATTGAGAAATCCTCGCCACGACAAAGTCAGAAAACTCATGATCTCATAAGAGTGTGTCCCTTCTCACTCATATTTGATGATGTGATTCCAATGCAAAAATGGTTCTTCGACGAATTTTCGTTTCAAATCTAAAATCTTCCAATTTGACAAATGGTTTCAAAAATGAAAGTGTGTCTCTTTATTTTTGGGTTTACAGGCAAAACCCAATGACCCCAACATCGTCAATTTAATGCATTCCTTGCTTACAAATGTATTTGGCATACAATAGGTCCCTGCTATAATACCCCTACCCCTTTATTATTTAACTATAATAAAAGTTGAACCTCTATGGAGGTCATATTTCACCATGGGCCAATCACCAGCCTCGAATTGGCTGGGGTCACATTGAGCTTGAAGAGAGTAGGGTATGCCTACGCCCTGTTGATTTATTCACGGGTAAGCAGGCAAACAGGCAACGCGTATTTCAAAATGCCCAAGCAAAATAAGAAAAGAGCCGCGCCACTGTCGGATAGAACTGATTCGAAACGAGTAAGTACTATGTAGACCTTAGAAAACAGTAAATGATTTCACACCAAGTTATTGTCGTCGTTATATTAACTTTTCGTCCCTTCCCGGTGAGATTCCGCTCTTTGTGTGACAATAACTCGGTGCATTAAGTGCTTTTTTCAGAATCGATGTGTGTTTGTGGTGACCTAAAACTGATACAAATGTAACCATAAGTTTCTGTGATTGTTTTTAAAGTCGAAGGCGTCGCAATCGTCGCCCCCAGGATCCGGTTCAGTAAGTGCTCGCTACACTTGTACATTTTAATGAATTAGCAATAGGGCAGCTTTTAAACGACGGTGAACTTACTATCCGTTTGTTTTAATATCTAGTTACTCTCTTTGTTCTAGTGCTCATGGTTGTATATTATAGCTGCATCTTATGCACAATGGTGCGTGTGTGAAAACGACTAAGTGCATGATCTAGATAAAAAAAAATGATTTGAGGTAACTATTCCATTTTTTAATGATTTAAACGAGACCGACATATAAGCAACCGATATTATTTGAACTGGGGTTTCTTGTGACTAAATTACTTGGTGTAACAATGCGGAGCATTCAAAAGATGCCATTTTTGTAGGGCGACATTTGGGTTTCGAAATTATCCGAAACGAGTATGTACTATGTAGGCCTTAGAAAACAGTAAATGATTTCACACCAAGTTATTGTCGTCGTTATATTAACTTTTCGTCCCTTCCCGGGGAGATTCCGCTCATTGTGTGACAATAACTCGGTGCATTAAGTGTTTTTTTTGTCAGAATCGATGTGTGTTTGTGGTGACCTAAAACTGATACAAATGTAACCATAAGTTTCTGTGATTGTATTTAAAGCGGAAGCCATCGCAATCGTCGCCCCTAGCATCCGATGAAGTAAGTTTTTGCTACACTTGTACATTTTAATGAATTTGCAACAGGGCAGCTTTTAAAAGACGGTGAACTTACTACCCGTTTGCTTTCATATCAAGTTACTCTCCTTTTTCTAGTGCTCATGGTTGTATATTATAGCTGCATCTTATGCACAATGGTGCATGTGTGAGAATGGTACTGAATATGTATACTAAATAAAACAAATACTAAATTTTGTTTTACATTATAGGTAAGTTACATGGAATCAAACGCTATCAAAATACAAACGGACATACAGATTGACGTAAACCTGGATACAATGATCCATATCATTCAGGTTTAAAATGAAGCGAGAACGGATCAATAAACATGATAACTGCACGATTTGTATAACACTTTGTAAGTGCAGTCTTACTTTTGTAGGTAGAAGCTTTTCTCTCGATCTGAAATTCACACTACGTTCTTTTGATATAACTATGGGAGAAAGTTGGAAATGATTGAAAATGTGAAAACCTTTGCATGATTGTGACTGCTTTTGCGCTTTTGCTTGGCTTATTATTATTATCGACAACTGAAACACATTGCTTACTTACAAATGTGTCAAGCTTACAATTGGTCCGTGCGATGGATGAATAGAAATAACACCCCTCCCCCTCTGTTAATTATTAATGTCGTCGATACATTCACTCAATTACTGATGACTATAATCACACTTTAGCCTCGGTGGAGGTAATGTCACGTGGGTCAATCGCTAGCCTGGATTGGCTGAGCCTACCTTGACATGAAGTAGGGAATATATACCAACGTCGAGTTGATTCATTCACTCAAGCCAGGCAAATACACGTAGTGAATTTCAAGATGGGGAACACAAATGAGCCTCAGGGCCCTAAGCCGCCCTGCCCAACGCCCTCGCCGCAGCCGGATATCAATGATCCGATAAAAGTAAGTATTATACAGGCCTTAAAAGACAGTAAACTGAATGCAAACATTCTTTCGCACCAAGTTTTTCTCGCAATTCTGTTAACTTTTCGTCCCTTCCCGACTACATTCGGCTTATTATTTAAAGAGAGCTCAATAATGTAATTGGTGTTTTCTTGAGACCCGATGTGTATAAATATATCCTATTGTAGGCCTTAAACAGATACAAATGTAACCATAAGTTTCTGTGATTGTTTTTAAAGTCGAAGCAACCGCCAAAGCCGAAGCCACAGCCAAAGCCGAAACAAGCACTCGGTGGAGTAAGTTTTTTTTCCGCACTTGTATTAGAATTTGATATAGTGCACCTTTAAAAATTGGTGAGCTTTACCATCCTTGTGCTTTCTTACCAAGCCATTCTCCTTTTAATGGTAATTTTTCGTTTCATTGCGGTAATATTTTGGTAATACTCGTGAAAACTACTAAGTGCATGATCTAGATAAAAAAATGATTTGAGGTAACTATTCCGATTTTTTTTAATGATTTAAACGAGACAGACATATACGCAACCGATATTATTTGAACTGGGGTTTCTTGTGACTAAATTACTTGGTGTAACAATGCGGAGCATTCAAAAGATGCCATTTTTGTAGGGCGACATTTGGGTTTCGAAATTATCCGAAACGAGTATGTACTATGTAGGCCTTAGGAAACAGTAAATGATTTCACACCAAGTTATTCTCGTCGTTATATTAACTTTTCGTCCCTTCCCGGTGAGATTCCGCTCATTGTGTGACAATAACTCGGTGCATTAAGTGCTTTTTTTTTGTCAGAATCGATGTGAGTTTGTGGTGACCTCAAACTGAAAGAAATGTAACCATAACTTTCTGTGATTGTTTTTAAAGTCGAAGGCGTCGCAATCGTCGCCCCCAGGATCCGGTTCAGTAAGTGCTCGCTACACTTGTACATTTTAATGAATTAGCAATAGGGCAGCTTTTAAACGACGGTGAACTTACTATCCGTTTGTTTTTATATCTAGTTACTCTCTTTGTTCTAGTGCTCATGGTTGTATATTATAGCTGCATCTTATGCACAATGGTGCGTGTGTGAGAATGGTACTGAATATGTATACTAAATAAAACGAATACTAAAAAAAAACACATTATAGGTAAGTTACATGGAATCAAACGCTATCAAAATACAAACGGACATACAGATTGACGTAAACCTGGATACAATTACCCATATCATTCAGGTTTAAAATGAAGCGAGAACGAATCAATAAACATGATAACTGCACGATTTGTATAACACTTTGTAAGTGCAGTCTTACTTTTGTAGGTAGAAGCTTTACTCTCGATCTGAAATTCACACTACGTTCTTTTGATATAAGTATGGGAGTAAGTTGGAAATTATTGAAAATGTGAAAACCCTTGCATGATTGTGACTGCTTTTGCGCTTTTGTTTGGTTTATTATTATTTTTCTCCTTCTTTTATTCATGGTAGTGTGTTGATGTTCAGGTGTATGACTGTCCTTTATGTTATGACACTTTTTACACGTCGGCGAAACTGCGTGGACACCTTAAAAAAGGACATCCCCGTTAAAGGAAGGGCATACATGATGATTGTAGAGCTAAATCAGCATTTAAAACTGCGGCAGGGTTGCGTACACACATAATTAAGCATGGACCTGGTACGGCATGGCCCCGGTAAGTTGGCACATCGTTTGTGCATTCTCATTGAACTTGTAAATTTGTTTCAAGAAAACGGCACTATACATGGGAGAAGGAAAGAAGCGCATCAACGTGAACACAAGAATACAATAACTTGGGTGTAAATCCACACTCGGTGAATCAATACAAAACTACGAAAAATACTGAAATACTTAACTTACATTAAGTAAACAGACAACTGGGAAAAAAGGACACCTGTCCTTTTTCAAGATCAGAAATAGATGCCCTTTATTAAAATTAAAATCTTTTTTTTTTTTACACTTCGAACGCATGCAGGTAACGACTGATGGGATTATCCCCGTGAAATCGTCAATCTCGTCAGCATCATCGGGATTGTTTGGAGGATGACGGTGCATAACGGACACACAAAAACAGTAACTAGTGCAGAACTACCACAGAATGCCCTCGACAAATCTTTTTCTATGTCCACATTAATAAAGTTTAGTTTTTACAGATGTAATGTCGTTTTCTGTGTGTTTATGAAAACTTGTTTTTTTTTCTGAGTCAAGAATTTCCAATGCTATCTGGCGTCAGTGCAGACTGGTCTGTCAATGTTGTTATAAATGTATACATTTTCACTAATACAGTTGCACTACAGGTTATATAATGTTTTCCATTAAACAAAACTTACTTACAGTGATAACTCTATAGACAGTTGACAACACAATCCATATGAATGAATGTCAAATGATGAAAAAAAAACACACCTAAACTCCACTTTGACCTTTACGTGGGCAATCATTCCCCATGCAGGCTACGATAAGAGCTTTTGTCCATGCCACACTTAACACAACATAAAGTACCTTCGACAAAGGGACAGACTACAAAACTCACATGAAATGGATATTTACTTTTCTTTTGTATTTCCTCTTTCCTCTTTACTGCTTAACCAAATTTCTTTTACCATTTTTGGAAAGGCCCTAGTAAATCAAACACGATTTTAAGTGAGCGTTTACTATCTGTTTTGCATATTCTTTTGATTTATGCGGAGAAGTAGACATGTAGATTTAAATAAGTATTTTTAGAATGTGTTTTAAACATTTCTGTTAAAAAAAGTTGTTAAAAATATTTCTGGTGATCAGCCGGACTGAAACACGATGAACTTCTGTTAGGTCTGTTGAGACTTGTTTGTCCAAATTATCTCGATTTTTTTTTAGATTAATGAAGGGCTATTTTATTGGTATATTAACAATGTCACAAGAAAACTGCCCACAAGAGGTACTTTTAGTAATATTGACCCATATTTGACTCTTAAAACAAAACCCCAAACTTAAGCAAGAATTCGTCAAAGTGCACAATTGAAGCAAATCATACCAAAATAAATGTCCATGATAAACAAATTATGATATTTGGAAACTTCACACATTTGTTTCTTTGTGGTTGACACTGATTTCGTAACATTACAAAGATATTCTGGAAATAAATCCCTATTGCAAATAACAAGCTTGGATGAGTGTCGGAGGCATGCCATAATTTCATTTAAAAGTATGCCGTCATTTGGGATTCCCCGGGTGGGCGCGCTCGATTTGCATAGAGTCGCGCGCTAGGAGTGCTCTCATTGGCTGACAATTGTTCTAAGACACGTCATGACAGAAAATGTCCCGAGCTGTCGGACGCGAGTTAAAAAAAACTATATAAATGACCGCTGTCTCTTCCCATCCCTAAAGAAGACGATCCGAGGCTTAACTAAAACACATTTTTCGAGGCTGAGAATATTTTGCGTACCAGTTTGTGGCCGAGGCGTTATTTTTCGGTTCAAGACTGAGTCAGTGGAGACTTGAAGAAGGCGACAGGAGGCATAATTCTGAGACGAAACGATGGGCTGGAACGATCCTGAACGCGGACGGGGCAACCACTCTCCCTGGTCGCATTCATCAGGGAACGATCCTTCTCGATATCGAGTAAGTTTTTCGTTTATCAATAAATTTTCTCCAAATCAAATTGCTTATTTGTAACCCTCAGATATCAGTTTAAACTGCGCGGAGCTTAACAACACAGAAACACTATAGCTGTCATAGCCTGAAATATGTTAGTGCTATTCATCATTCAAAGATATTTGAAGGTTATTCCGGTTGGTTAAAATAGCTTTGGGTTGTTCAATGTCATCTGCTTCGCAATCAAACAAATATACACTTCTGAAATTGTCGTGCGGCACGCGGACTTGAAATTGGCGAAGAAAAACCGTCCTAGTCTACGGTAATGTTGAAAAGAATGACGTGAAGTTTGCCTATCGAATAGCATTCGAATATAAATTTACACATTTCATTTTGTATTTTTGTTTTCAGGATTCCGAGTGCTGCGGCTGCTCCAACAAATGTTGCTGTGTCATATTTACACTATTCATCGGCGCAGCAGTGGCTGGTGTGGTGCTGTTCCTGAAATTCGGACTGCAGCTCTTCTAGATTTACTACGCCTATAACCCTACCGCGAAAGCAGCCCCAGTCACTGGAGGATTCATGGGGAGTTGTAGGCCCGAAGCAGACGCGTCAACCCCGGCCGGCTCTCGTATAGTCGTACGCTTCAGAGAATGTGCCGGCCAGACCCACGCGATTGCGACTCGTCCCTCCACAAAGAATAGAACATTTCTCGTTGATGAGACGCGAATTATGCTACGAACTTTCCATGGGAAGGGTCGAACAGTATTAATAATGTGTTGGTTTGTGGGAAAACAAAGGATGCAATGGCCATGACACTGACCAACTAAAATGGTTGTGTGACGAAAATGTCCCTAACCTAGTACTAGTAGAATTCAACACACTGTCTTAATTTTAGTGTTATTGTACTTCTTTTGAAGTTTACCTTGTTGGCTGGAGCCAAAGCGATTCAATCTCTTACAGTATAGATTCCGTTTCATGTTAAAATGTGTTGATAATCGACCACTCGAAGTTCGAGTTACATACAATGTTGACTATACATGTATTGTACATGTACGTGTGGCTGCATGTAGTTTGTACACAGTCTATATAGTCGTACTGTCTGACTGTTATAATGAATTGTGTTAATTATTTATTATGCTGGAGAATTCAACATGGCCGCTATTAAGCACCTTGGAGATTTAATGAAAGTTTCTCAAATCATTTCTAGAAGACCGAGACCTTTAAAAAAAAGCAGTTTATTATATTATAAAGTGTTATGAATTACTACCGCTTGTTTTGATGAAATGTTTTTTTATTTGAAGAGATTTTGTAAGAAAAGATTTCGTGATTTTTTGGTAAACTTTCGTCGAGTATGCTCATTGATAGTCATTATGAATATTCATACTGTGACATCACTGCATATTGGTTACTGAACTTTGTACTTAGAGTATGTTTACACTTATTCACGGTCTGCAAAAGAGAGTTTAAAGTTTAGAAGATTGATTTTAAGCCTTTTTACTGTGGGAGTGGTTAAACTATAGAAGTGTGTGCGTATTATTGATTTCCTGACATGCATGGTAGGCGCGCATGTTGATATTTGTAGTTAAAGACAGTTTAACGCATTGTCCAAATTATGACGCGCTTTTGTTATTGTTTAATTTTTTAGTTTAATACATCTTTATTGGTATACTAACAATGAAAGAAGGAAACAGATTATGAAATAAGCCAATGAAATAAATACAAAGTAAGCAAGAATTCGTATCAATGTACATGTACAATTAAAGCAAAACACTGACAACGCCCATACCAAAAGTCCATGATAAAGAAATTATAAAACATGTATGCAGAAACTTAAAACGTTATTTGCTTGTGGTTAATACTGTACTGATTCCGTAACAATGCATTAATATTCAAATAAATTCTCATTAGAAATGACAAACTTGGATGAGTCTCTCAGGCTTTTTATCTTTCATTGTCCTATCTAAATCTATGTCGTCATTCGGAATTCCCCTTTCACTGTTACAGGAGGCGCGCGCGCGCTCTTTTTGCATACATGTTGTGCGCTACGAATGCTCTCATTGGCTGATAATTATTCTATTCCACGTAATGCCTGAAAATGTCCCGGGCTTTTGTATGACAGAACAAATTCTATACATGCCTGCTTTCTTTTACTAACTCAAAAGAGGGTAATCCTAGTCTTTCCCAAGCACATGTTGCGAGTCTGAGCATTTTTGTGTCACATTTTGTGGCCGAGGCGATATTTTCTGACTCAAGGCTGAGTTAGGAGAGACTAGAAGAAGGCAAAAGGAGGCATTTTTCTGAGACGGAACGATGGATTTGAACGACCCTGAACGCGGACGGGGCAACCACTTTCCCCAGCCGAATCCCTCAGTGAATGATCCTACTCGCTATCGTCGAGTAAGTACATTGTCTTTATCTTGAAGTAATTTGCTCTGAATCAACTTATTTATTTGTATTAACCCTCAGATATCAGTTTACCTGGGATCTATACACAAAAAAACCCAATCAAGCTATCTTTGCATGAAATAGTTAACTTACTGTTAGTCGTAGCCAAAAGTCGTTAATTTGGTGTTTTTTTTTCATTTTGTAGGACACAAACTGTTCAAAGTTCAAAGTCATCTGCTTCTAAATTAAACAAATATACACTTCTTGAGTTGTCATGTCACTCATGTGGCACGCAGATTTGAAATCGACGAGGAAAAAACCGTCCAAGTCTGTAGTAATTTGTAAATAGAATGACGTGTTCAGTCCCTCTCTCGAATCGACACGGCATTAACCGACAATATTCCAATAAACGTTTTTTTTATCATCATTATTTTTGTATTCAGGATTCAAAGTGCTGTGGCTTCTCCAGAACATTTTGCTGGATCGCAACCAGTACAGCACTCATCATCGTAGTGGTGATTGTTGTATTGCTGATCCTGCAATACACGGTGGGGATCTTTAACAACGCCTACGCGTAACTCTACAGCCCCAATCACTGGAGGATTCGTCATGGGGAGTTGTGAGCCCGGAGCAGGCGCGTCAACCCCGGCTCTCGCACGCTTCAGAGAATGTGCCCGTTCAGCCCCAGAATGTGGCGACTCGTCACTCCAACATAACACAGAGCATTTCCCGTTGAGATGCAAATAAGGCGAACTTTTCCTGATCGGAAGGGCCGTGTCGAATCGGACAGTGTCAATAAATAAAGTGTTGGTTTGTGGGGGAAAGAAACTGGTCAACTCAAAATGGTAGTATGACGAAAATGTCCCTAATAAAACACACCGTTACATGTTACTTGTTAGAGTACTAATCAATTTTACCTTGTTAGTTGGAGCCAAAGCGATTCAATCTTGTAGAGTATACATGTAGATTCCGTTTCATGGTGATTTGTATGGTAACAGTTGATTAGATCACTATGTTGAACGAAGTTTTACACAATGTTTACTACATGACTTGTATACATGCATGACATGTATAATAATGTACAAAATCATGTATACAAAGTCGTACTGTCTGACTGTGTTTATAATGCATAGAGTGAGAATCCAACATGGCCGCTATTTCAGTTTTGTAAGCACCTTTGTGATTGGATGAAAGTTTATATAATTTCTAAAAGACTGAAACTTTTAAAACGCAGTTTATCATATTAGAAATGTGTTATTTATTATTATCTGGCCTCTTTCGATGTAACTTTTTTATTTGAAGAGATTTTGAAAGATTTTCATGACCCTCTTCGTCGGGTAAGCAGTCTGGTTCTCTGAGCTGACCTGAAAATCTCCGACGCCACTGGCGTAGTCAGAATCTTTTGGTCTGGGAACCAGACTACGCTGATGAACATTCATCGAGGATACCCGTCGGTTATTCTCGATGAATGTTCTAACTTCTTACTGCATTTTCTCAATGAACTTATGGGGTTTATTTACATTGATTCACGGTCTGTAAAGTAAGCACTTTTTGTGAAGTTCGTGTATTTTTCACAATATTTTTGAACAGATTAAAGTAAGAAAAAAAATTGTAAATTGACTTCCAGCCGTTTGAATGATATTATGTTGTATAACGTTTGAAAATTAGAGAAATGTTATCGTTGGGGGAATCCACTTTAATTTACTGAGAATCTTACAACCGTGGGAGTGGCTAAAACTCAGTAGTGCGCGTGTATTATTGATTTCCTGGTAGGCGCGCATTATATTCCAAGGTACGGGTGTTTTGGTGATCCATGCAGCTGCGGATGCTGTTTGCAGCTAAAAATAGAAAGATTAGTTCAAGTGCAAGGTGAAAAGGGAATTTACTGCGTACGAGGAAATAAAGAAAGAATATCTGCTTCGTCATTAAGGCTGAGATTTGCTGATTATTGCATACTTGAAGTTTGAATAAATTCAGTTAAAAAGAGTTTGGGCCTAAAGGATTTAAGAGTTCCTAGGTTGGCAATTGAAGTCTCTTAAAATAATTATACCTTTTTTAAAAGTTATGTTCTTCTGTTTTATTTTATTGGTTTACATTAAATTGATTATTATGAATTATAACAGATAAATAAACACATTCGTTATTAAAGGTATCTCTGTAAACATTGTTTTTTTTCATCCGTTGAGTCATTCACTACAATAAATTTACTACAATTTTCTTTCAAAGGACAAAAATAACTGGGCTTGGAAGTTAGGGGGCGTGTAAACAACTCTCCGGTCCTAGTCAATAGACGACAATCGACCAATGAAAACACGCCATGTGCCCCAGCCATAACCACGAAGGCAATTTCGCAATCCTGTAGTTCAGATCGACACAAACACTCGACGACCAGTTTTTTCTTTGTGTGAACCACAAACCGTGAAAGCAGGGAACTGGATGCCAAAAAGAAGGCCAATGAACGGCAATCGACCAATGACCGTACGCCATGTACATCCTCTATAGTCAGGGTACGATTTCGCAATACCAAACGTTCAGGGATCTCTTCAAACACCCATTCACATAATTATTAGTGTTTTCTTTATCAACTTGGGGGGAAAAGGAACATGGAGAAGAAAAAAGGCCTACGATAAAGCTGAACAAACGTGATGTGATCTGGCAAAATGAGACAGAACTTGGCAGAGGTCGAAATGAGGGTTTGCTAGTATTAGGAAAGAGAATAAAATTCTCCTTACAATACTGTTTGTTGCACTTCAATCGGACATTCCGTTTACAAGTTATGGCTGTTTAAAGTTCACCATTATGGAAAAGTCAACAAACTAAGTAAAATTCTGAGAAAAAAAAGACCTTTTAATTAAAGTTTCGAGTTTAGTATACGTAAAAAAAAAATAGATGCAAATTGCTTTTCCTTAGAAACTTTTTTATTCCACGATTTGAAAACTATATTTCTTTGAAATATGTATAGTATCCTATGAAATTAATACAAATAGTAATTAATTAAGAAATCACTCCTATTCAGTTTTTTTTTGGCATTTCTAGTACGGCCTGTGCTCTGTTCTATCTCATTTTGTCCACTGAGTACGCCTCAAAATGTGCTCAATATAGAATGGCGCAGTGGGATGTTTCCTCGCGCCATTTCTTTTGTTTTGACGCCGATGCGAATCTCAGTTTGAGTTTTAGTTCTGACGGGTTTTTTTCCAACCGCAAATCTTACAAATTCTTCATCTCCTTCTCTCTCATGGCTCTGTCAAGAATTTGAGAAAACCCGTTGCTAGTTATTGACATTCATGTTTTTCTAGTTGTTTCAAATTTGTTTGGGCTATTTTTCGAATTTCATAATCGTCTTAGGCGGCGCCTGCAAAAAGTTGACGCTTATTCGTGGCTGCATGGTTCTACGATCAACACGATGTATACGCCTTAATTTGAGTCTTTTGTGACAGTGAAGAGGGGTATGTTTTTGAGTTGTTTGTGGGTGCATCTTATGCCTTAAGAATTCAAATGTGAGATTTACTTGACATCCTTACGATTAATTTCCTTATATGCTGAAAATTATAACCCGCAATATATTTTCAAATATTATTATTATGATGAAATAAATTCAACTAATTTGGTTCTGCATCTCTCGTGGTTTTCTTCGCAGAGAATTTCGAGCCTCGAGGCACATGATTTCATGGTAGATGTCTGAATGAGTTACCTCAATTCATTATTTATGATTCGTGCTAGACGCCATTGCTTTACATAATTATTGCGTTTGTGTTGTCTTGTTGCTTTGCCTTATTGTCGTCATTGGGGAATACCCAGCTACATCATCCGACTCACTCGCTGGTGGAGCCAATGAATGGGAAGGTGGGCGTGTCTTTGTGCTCAATACAGTCAAATGATTGGACGAGTTCTTAAGTTATTCAGCAACGTCACCAACATAACATTAAGCTTTACTCAATGAAATAAAAAATATGAGGCAAAAATATAGCATGCCGCGGTTACGTTTTCACGACACTCCTCGAGAGGCAGAAAATCAGAAAGAACCCTACTCATTAAAATAAAAATCGCCGACGAAATAACCCCGAAGAGACTAGGAAGAGAACTCCAAACGATTGCATTGTTTTGCCACAAAATGGGCTGGAACGATTCACTTTGCTATAAAAATCGGAGCAACTCTGGTGGCTACCCACAGCCCGACGCAAATGATCCCAGACGAGCTCGGGTAAGTCGAGTAATCACTGTGAAACCGTGTTATGTAAACGAACAGCATTATTAATGTAGATGCAAAATTATATTCTCCGACTGTTTGACCGAAAGCCCGAGGTAAAGGGGAGAATCAACCGATGAAAAAATGTTAGCAATACGAAGGTCTTGGTATTCTGCATAATGCTGCATTAAACTGTGTTAAAGTTTATTCCAAATCGGTATTTTGTTTGTCAATGAAAAGTCCATGGATTTATTCTTATCAAAATCTTTTCTTTGTTTCGTCGTTTTTTTCCCAGGACGAATGTTGCCCATTTTGCATCTGTTGCTCGAAAAGGAGACTATGCGTGTTTGG